CCCCCCCCAGCACCCCAGTTCTGCTTGATACAAGCTTGCAGATGTTTCTTGTAAATGAGTACAATAATGTGTTATTCCTAGATACACTGGAGACTTGACTGTTCATTTTGATGATGATTTGTGAATAGAGTCTTGATGAATGTGTTTGAAGTGTGCAACTGACATGGAAAATGTTCTTTGTTCATTCGTGTTGTTGCAAGTTTTTTTTCCTTATAGTCAGCTCTGTTTGGGAGTGCTGAATTCATAACATCTGCCTTCCATAATTTATTCGACAACGCACACGTTTCTTTTCTTTCTTTTTTTTTGGTTCAATTTGTCCTCCATGACTGTCATTCTTTGCAAGTACTTGTGTCTGAGTTTGTATTTGTGTCTACACGAGTGTGCAATCTATGTGCAGTACGATGTGTGATACACGTGCAGCACTATGTGAACATTACAGAAATGAAAACAGTCAAATAAATGGCACTTGCACTTTGTTTCTGGGATGTCTCTCAGCCTTCGGGTAACAATATCTTTGAACACTATATTTTCTGAAAGATTCTAGATTTTCAGCTTTTTTTAGCTTTTGCCTCTTTATACCGAGCAACTGTTCGTCAGTAACTGTAAGTCATGTAAGGAATAAAAAGAATGCAATGCTTAGAAGAATAAAAGCTTGACAAAAGTAGTAATAGTACTGATTCATTGCTGCAAAAGACTACAAAGTCCGATGAACCTTGTAGAGCTTTTCGTGGTATGGTGTAGTAATAATAATGAAAATAATAGTTATAATTTCATTTATGTTGTGCATATCCACGCTTTACAGCATACTCTATGTGTTTTACAACTATTATTACCCCAACAGACCCTAGAACACTCTGAAACTTTCTCGGGAAGCATACAGTGCAGCTGCAGACTACATGCACTCAAACGCAGACAAACTGACAAGATCTTTTTCTGTCTTGTCGTGTCAGTTTCCTCTCTTTGTTTCCTGCATTTTTTTTCTACTCACCATTGTTTGAAGGTTTTCGAAAAACGTTTTTCTGGTAAAACAGTAACAAACATTTTGATTGGTTGTATTTGTTTGCACGGTGTATTCTGTGTAAGTTCTATAGTTTGTTTTTGTTCAGTTGTCGTACCTGACAGAGCTCATAATGAAACAATTGATATTTGCTCAGATTGAAATGCTCCTTCTTTCCTATTCAACATCTATTGTCCTTATCTCTCCTCCTCCTTTTCTTTGTTTGTTTCTTTTTAGTAATGCCTCTAATCTTTGGCACTTATATGACCTAACTGTGTTGCAAGTGCCGTAAAACTCTCACTAAAACTAAACTGAATTACAGTGTGAGTATTAAGTCAGGGTCTTTTTTTCAGTGGAACAGTGTCAAACATGTAGAACATATTGTATATATGCTATATATATAAACATATTCTGTCTCTGTGTGTGCACACGCGTAACTTTTGTCGCTGTGGGTTGTCGGACTGTGTATTTTGTGCACTTTTTTCTTTCAAGTCTGAATCTGACTGATAACGA